TAGTCTAGTCTATAGTCTAGTCTATAGTCTAGTCTATAGTCTAGTCTATAGTCTAGTCTATAGTCTAGTCTATAGTCTAGTCTATAGTCTAGTCTATAGTCTAGTCTATAGTCTAGTCTATAGTCTAGTCTATAGTCTAGTCTATAGTCTAGTCTATAGTCTAGTCTATAGTCTAGTCTATAGTCTAGTCTATAGTCTAGTCTATAGTCTAGTCTATAGTCTAGTCTATAGTCTAGTCTATAGTCTAGTCTATAGTCTAGTCTATAGTCTAGTCTATAGTCTAGTCTATAGTCTAGTATAGTCTAGTCTATAGTCTAGTCTATAGTCTAGTCTATAGTCTAGTCTATAGTCTAGTCTATAGTCTAGTCTATAGTCTAGTCTATAGTCTAGTCTATAGTCTAGTCTATAGTCTAGTCTATAGTCTAGTCTATAGTCTAGTCTATAGTCTAGTCTATAGTCTAGTCTATAGTCTAGTCTATAGTCTAGTCTATAGTCTAGTCAATAGTCTAGTCTATAGTCTAGTCTATAGTCTAGTCTATAGTCTAGTCTATAGTCTAGTCTATAGTCTAGTCTATAGTCTAGTCTATAGTCTAGTCTATAGTCTAGTCTATAGTCTAGTCTATAGTCTAGTCTATAGTCTAGTCTATAGTCTAGTCTATAGTCTTGTCTATAGTCTAGTCTATAGTCTAGTCTATAGTCTAGTCTATAGTCTATAGACTATACGTTTTCCATTTGAAATAAAATTCAATTATATGTTTTATTTGTTTTTAAAATTGTTTTTATTATTTATTTTTATTTACTTTTTAAATTTACACTTAATATAATATGGTATTTAAATAAATTTCAAGGCTCCTCCATAGGCAAATTCCTGAAAACCTATAGAAATGGTTTTAAAAAATGAAATAACGTAATTAATAATTCAAAAAATTAGGGATTAAAATAAAACTGTTGACACTCGTCTCATATTGAATGTACTTCAACATGTGCCGGGTTTTCAAGGCACCAGAGCACCTGATGAAGTACAATAGACATGGGACATCATTTTAACTATATATATTTTTTTTTTTAATTTTTATGTTTGTTGTAACATTTTAACACATTTTAACACTGACCTAAACAAATTATTAGATTAAATTAATTTTTGTGTATAATTGTTATGATGACAACGATGGCGAAAGACGATGATTATTTGTATGATAAATGATGATTACTATGATGTCAGTGCCTAAAACTTCGCGCGCTACTTCAGGTACCTGACTGCAGTTTATTAAATATTCAGCCCCGGTCTCTGATTAGCGCGCAGAGTGCTAGACATACTATATATAATAATGTTAAATACATATAAATATATAAATATATTTTTTGTTTAAACAAAAAATAAATTAAAACAATAGCATTAATATGTAATGGCTGATAGATAGATGGATGTCTAGATGGATGGGTGGTTTAATGTTGTTGTTGTTGGATTTTTAACACTTTATACCAAAGAAAAAAAATATGTATTATTGTATAGGTATGTTATTGTGTAGGTATTTATGTATGTGAGGATTTCTTACATTCATTACATTGTATTATTGATGGCTGGCAAATGTCTTCGTCATGAATGCAGTTTTTTTTTTAACCAAATTTATTGTATTCGTTGCTGATTTTAACCGAAAGCATAAGAAGTATATAAGATAGAGTCCGTGAGAGAGGCAGTTAAATAGAGAGTGAGCAAGAGTACCTTAGTCTTTAGGTTTGCCTTGCAAGTTGCAACGTATGACCTTGTGTCCGTAGCATGTAAAAAAAAAGTATTTTAAGGTTAATGATCTGTAATTTATTTGTGCAAAAAAGTGCAGAGAGCCAACCATGACAGTCATTCCTTGTCGGTCGTGTAAGTGAGTGAGTGAGTGAGTGTGTGTATATGCATTTTACCAAAACCGTATGACTAAATTTATTTCTAGCTAAGCTGCTGCTGCTTACTCACCACACTAACTCATATACAGCAATCTAGTATACTAAGTTAGTTAGTATTTGTGTTGTTAAGTTAATGAGAGAGAGAGAGAGAGAGAGAGGAAGAGAGTTTGAGTAAATAAATGAAAGGCTTCAGTTTAATTAAGAGGGTTGCCAAACTCTGCTATATTAGTTTAAAACTTAAGCAGGAACTTGATAAAATTATTATTAAGCTTTTGCTTTAATGATCTTGGGCTATTCATGTGATCTTGTTTTTTTCTTTTCAAATGAGAGAGAAAAGTTTACAGTGTAATGGTGTTAGTAATGAAATAATTGTCAAGATATTATGTGCTCTTTTGCATTTCTTTTTGACTTCCTTTTTTTAAATGTTCCACACCATGGAGTGCTGGAGTATATAGCTAGTCATTGTGGTTGACAATAAATACTCTAACAATCAAGCTTAACATATGTATGTGTATGTGTGTGTGGGTATATATAAAATACACAACTACTACTGCAAAATTACATAAACTTAGTTATCTTTTGTGAATGGTGAGTAATTTTTTTTTAACAAACTCATTGCAAAAAACCAAGGATATGACGTCATTTTGCTAAAAAAATTTTGCAAACTTGCAAAAAAAAAGTTCAAGCAACACCTTTTTTTTGACTTGACGAAAAAAACCTGTATATATACCACTACTATTACCATAAACGTATACATAGATATTGTAAAAATGTAAATTTTTGTTCATGTGTGTATTTCATGTTATGCCAGACCCAGAAATGACCCTGGTTTTTTCTAAATTTGTATAGCTTTAAGTGATATTCATAGCTAATGTAAGGCAAAGGCAAAAAAATGGCAAGGCAGTGATCTTTTCTATATTGTAGCTCTTGCGATTTGTTGTTTGCTTTAGCGAGCTCCCAAAAACCATATGTTCGTTGAATGTATACGAATTTACGATTTTTTTTGTCGTACATTCCTCCTTGCTGCACTCTTGTCGTGCGAATGCTGTAAGATTTTTTTCTTTAAGTTTTTTTTTATTTTTTTGGTTTGGCTTTAAAGGCGAGGTGTGTGCTTTTTTAGCTGCTGTTACCAAGCAGCAGTATGTTTTTTTTTTTTCATTATTATATGTATTTTTTTTTTTTTTAATGAGCGCAGACGGCCTCAAATATTTTTTTTTTTGTATTTTTCTTGTTTTTACAGATAAAGATTCGCATTTGCTCACTCATACCATGAACAAAATACGATACACGTGCCCCACTACATTCAAAAAAAATAAAAAAAAAAATGGCAAACATTTGCACTAACTGCGGCTGTTTGTTAGATATCTTTTAAATGTCTTTGAACGAACGTTTCCATACACTAGTTGCTCTCCTAAACTATAAAAATTAGTCATTAGTTTTAAACAGCATTTTAGCTTTTTAGAAAGTAAACTAAATTAACGAAATTGTTTTTTTTTTTTTTTTTTTTTTTGCTTTACATGATCCAAAACCGCTCAACAACCACTTGTTTGTTATGCTTAGCTTAGAAATTGGCCGGCCATTCTATTACTTTTAGCTTTTATAAGCTTATTTTTTAAATTGCCTTTCAAAATTTCAAAAGAAAACTTGAAATGATCATTTTCAATCTATCTCTCTCTCTCTTTAAATAACAAAAAAAAAAAAAAATGAGAGTTTTTTTGTAATAAATTTTGCAAAAAACCAAAAAACTTATTTAAATCTTTTTTTCTATATAATTTTCTAAAAAAACTCAAGTGTTTTACTTTTTTTTTTGTATAAAAAAAAATCTAGTGAACATATGAATGTTGTATGTTTATATGTACATATGTTGATGTAGGAAAAAAAAAAGCAATGCGATGATTCTTCGTAGCTTGACTGGGTGGGGCACTCGGGACAAATATAACCTCACTTAACTGGTATCGAAAATAAGTTATGTTTTTTCTCATAACTTCTTATACTTAAAAATATATATATATTCAAAGTAGTTTAATAGTTTCGTTATTTTTCAATTTTCATTTAAATTTTTATTAATTTTTGCACAATTCTTTTTTTTTTTATTTGCAGGGTTGTATATGTGTATGAAAGAATGAATGATTGAGCGAATGAGTGTTGGTGTGAATAACAAACTTACCGGCAAAACCTTAAACGTTTAAGATCAGTCAGTACAAATACCAATAAAGTAATAAGAAATAAAAAGAAAAAAAAAAACTTAAAACACGCTCACATTGTCAACCAACCCAGACATTCAGCCATATGATTAGCTGTCTCTTGACTGGTACTGCGGTATTCGCGAGAATTCAAGCACAACCGCATGAAAAATTTTTTTTTTTTCGCTGAACATGATGATAAAAAGCAAAAAAAAAAGAAATACGAAAATGCCGGTCGTTTTTGTTTCAATTTATTCTTTACTTTGTTCAGTTTCGTGAGAAAACACGACAACGAACACAATAACGACAACGAATGTTGTACATATGTTTTCAGCGAATGCTTTAATTGTGGGGGAATTTGCACACCCCACAATTGGGCGAATTGTTATAAAGAATAAATATGCAATAGAGACCAACAAAGGTTTTTGCAAAATATTTGCAGAAATTGTTAATATAAAAACTTTATTACATGGCCTCCCTAATGATTTTTAGCCGTATTCCCCCACTTGCTCGCTCGCTCGTTCGCTCTCTCACACTCTCTAAAACAACATGCAATTCTTTTATTGTCTGTGTCTGTCTCCTCATATCTTCTTTGTATGAGTATTTGTAGCCGGCATTTTTGTGTGGTTTCTTTTCTTGCGTTTTTTTTTTTCCCTTAATATACTACAACGAAGGCGAATGTCTATAAAGTTTGTATAGGTCTATGAGTTGTATGCCGCGGTACGTTGGTATACGTGATTTGAAGATGACGTGTGTTATACGAACGAGTATGATCTAAACTTACAATTATTCAACAAGACTTTCAAGTTTTATATACTGCTTGGTTTTGTCGTTTCTCTCGTCCTCTGCTTCCTTCATCTCCTTCTTCTTGCTCTGTTTCCGTCGTAAAAGTCCCAAAAAATGTGCATTTTGTTTGCCAAATTTTTTTGGTTTTATACACATGTCTAGCAACTACATTGTATAGAAATTTCTTATATTTTATATTTATTTATTATTTAAATTTTTTTTTTTTCGTTTTTAATTTTGCCATGAGTTTAACGCATGATTTTTTTCTCCCCGAATTCTTTGTACAAAAAACATAACGCATATTTGCGTCATTTAAATAATTTATTTAAATTTTTTCAATACGCCAAACAAAAATTTAAAAAAAAAAAACGTTCAATTTCAATAGAATTGTAGCTGAGAAATTTTGAAAAGTTTTTTTTTCTTGTTTGTTAATATCGCTGGTGATGATGAGAGCATAAAATTAAGCTAAAAATAACTTGTTTGTATTGTTTTCTTGATATTTTTGATTATCGGGAAAATTCCATGGCATTCATTTATTTGTCTGGAGGAGTAGAGTAGAGTAGCAAGAAGAATAGCAATGTCATCATCATCATCACCATCATCGCCAACAACATGTCAAATATACTTTCTCAATTTACATAAAAATGAGGAATACTTTGGAAAAATTATATTTCGCATACATTTGCAATTAATTAATTTACATATGAGTTTTAATTTTATTAGTTTTTATTCGTATTTTGTCTATACTTTTCTCAATTCTCTCAGTTTTAGATTCGCTTAAATAAATGCCGGGCTTGAATTTCACAATTTATTGCGTTTTGGTTAACTAAACTAACAACAACAACAACAGCAGCAGCACACAACAACGTTTTTGTATTACAATTCTGTTTTTTTCTTAGCAAAAGTTTGCCTCACCATGCGTCACCTCCATCTGTCCGTCCGCATACAACTTTGAAAAAAAAAAAGTTCGCACTCACAGTTACACAAACACACTCTCAAGCACTATGGTTTGGTGACGGTAACAGTCAGTTGTAGTAGTTATACATGTGTTTTTTTTTTAATATTTATTTCTCTCTTTGTTCTGTTTCTTTTTATTTTTTCCCGTTTTTTTGTCAGTTTATTTTATTAACAAATGTTCTTTTTTATTCTTTAATTTCAGAAATTTCACTTGGGTTATAAATTTTTGTTCTCAATAAAAGGTTTTCTTAAGTTAATTCTTCGTTTTTTTTTTGTTCTTTGTTAATTATTTAAACAACGACACAACACACAAATGTTATTTGTATTTATAAAGTATTAAGTGTAAGAAAATAATTTTTATATTTTTCAATTTATTTGACTTAAGCACGGAAAGAGTTTCTTTTTAGCAAACCGTTCGGACCGGCTGTTGGCGATCAAATGAGTGGTATTCAATGTCGTCGTTCAATCAAAAGCCAAAAGTTTGCAAAACACATTTTGCTTTTGCTGCTGATTGCTGACTGCCTTGCTGGCTGCCTGCCTGGTGGCTCGTTAGCTTCTGGCTGGTCGACTGACTGCTTTCTTGCTGGTTTGATTCGTATATAAAATTTGTTCGTTGATTTCGGTTTATTCCATGTGTGTCTCTATGTTCTATCTGGTGGCGGTGCTGTTGTCGTAGTCGTTGTTGCTGTTGTTTTTGTTCTGCACTGCTGCTGCTGTTTGTTTGAGATGTTGTTGTTGTCGTTGCTGTGTTTGTTGGCTCATTGCTGTTGTTGTTGCTCTTGTTGCTGTGTCTGTGCGAGAAGATGGAGACCAGACCAGACATTGCCTATAGTGAAATACAAAGGCGAACATGTACTACTTCTCGCATACACCAAAAAAAAAAAACGAAAACAAAAACAAAAAAAGCAAAATCATACAACAAACATTTGTTGGTGGGATTTTTGTTGGTGTTGCTGCTGTTGTTGTTTGCTGTACTCACCCGTAGTCGCGACGAGACTATAACCGAGTGTGTGAGTTTATTATTTCTTTGTTAGGAACAATCTTTCATACATATGTACCTACACAATGCATACTCATGTGTATCTATGAATATAGCAAAGTGCAAGGTATCCATCCATCCAACCAACCAACCGAACAATCATTCGTCCATCTATCTATACAGTTCATAAGGTTATATTCACATGCTCCTTGTTACCTTCATTCATTAACCGATTTTAAAATTATTTATAATTTGTATTTCAAAAATTCGTTAATCGTATAAATTATCTTGAATATAAAAGGTGTGTATACGTTACGATCCATTATTGAAGAGTATATAGTTTCTTGATACAAGAAAAAAAAATTCCCATTTCTTGACTGGTGTAGTTCAAGAGTGACTAAAATTTATGCAACACACCAGCTCAAACCCAGACCTACAACTACGACAGAAAGCTTACCGTATGATTTTTTTTCTGCAACCGCTTGTCCTTTCAACCCCCTCTTTCCATGATACACACAATATACAAACGCCGGTTATCAACATATTTATGTTACTCTACATACAGATAGATAGACAGACGTTTGTACATACGATTGTATGTCTGGCTGACTGACTGTTAAAACCAATTCTCTCTCATTTTCTTTTTATTTCTATGTGTTTTTGCCGAAAATGCAGACATTCAAGTTTCCAAGTTTTTCAAACATTTTCCCTAAACTCAGTTAGCAAGTTCTCCCTGTAAGTACTAGATATTAAATTTGTTGCAATTCAGTGTTGCTATGTTGGCAATATTTTATATCAGGGGGGCGTTAAACTTGGGAAAAGTAAAATAAAAACATTAATTCTACTTAAATGGTATTGTTCCAATGTTATAATGATAATCTCAGTCACATTTATTCTTAAACTAGTTGGTTCGATTCCATTCTGAGGCTGTGAATCCATGAAGAATCGGAGTAAAGTTGGCCCGACAATTAAGTGTATTTTAAAAAGGATATCCAGGAATATCTTTAACTTTAGCAAACTGATAAAACTCATAATATATATCAAGAACTTTCCGGACGATGCTCGGGAGATATTCCAATCTCAGTCAAGAGACCAAACTTTCAGTCGCAATATTCCGAAGTTATTTTCAGACACCTTTTAAATTTCTTATCTCAAGAATAGCTGACCAAACATCTTCTGTGTCGGAACAATGGTCGGGAAAGAATCCAACTTTAGTCAACTGACCAAACGTTCGGTTTCAGTATTCCGAAGATATTTTCAGAAACAAGAAACATAACTTGCCTATCTAACGATCAAACGTTCGGTCACAGTATTTTGAAGATATTTTCAGACACCTTGTGACAATCTTATCTCAAAGCAGCAAAGCCGACCAATCCTCTTCTATATCGAAACAAGGCCTCTTTGGTGATGTCCCTAGAACTACCGGCTTGAGTTTTTACTATCCTGTTTCTTTTTAATTTTCCATTTATCGCTACCTCTTAACGAATAGAATCACAATGGAATAGCAGACCAATTCATTTCTAGAATAAGAACAAAGATTTTTTTGTCCAGGTTCCAATATCGTGAAAACTTGTTCACGAAATTCTTTAACTCAACTAAAAACGAACTGATAAAGCTCATCACATATTTGAAGAATTTGCCGAACAATGCTCGGGAGAGACTTCTTAGTCAACAGACCAAACTTCCGATCTCAATATTCCCTTATTTTCATGAACCTTGTAACGACGTTATCTCGATCTTCTCCTCTTCTATGTTAGAATAATGCTCGGGAGAGGCTCCAACTTTAGTCAACTGACCAAAATTTCGTCAACAGACCAAACTTCCGATCTCAATATTTCCTTAGTTTTATAAACCTTGTAACGACGTTATCTCGAACTTCTCCTCTTCTATGTTAGAACAATGCTCGGGATAGGCTCCAACTTTAGTCAACTGACCAAAATTTCGGTCTCAGTATTCCGAAGATATTTTCAGAAACCTTGTGACGATATTATCTTAGCGAAGGGAAACATTATAGACCATTATATCCATTATCATGTGTGCACAAGGCTTCTTTGTTAGTGTCTGCAAAACTATCGGCTTGAGCTTTGACGATCTTTTTTCTATTTCTCTATTTGTCCCAGATTCTTAACGAAAAGAATGACGATCATGTTTCTACTTCTCCATTTATCCCTGTCTTTTAACGAACACAATCATACTGGAATAGCAGATCAATCCTTTTCTAGATTAAATAGGAATAAGGTTTCTTTATTGATGCCCCGAAATTGTGAAACCTTGACAAAGAATTTCTTTAATCTTACCGATTAAAACAGCTAACAATGTTCTACTAGACATCTAGTTTTAAATAAAGATCAAAACCAGATCCATTAAAACTATTAACCCTAAGAAATAACTCTGAATCGATTTTTTTCCGCAAAAAGAAAACGTTTGGCAAGAATGGAACAACTACATATAGATTATATTCTTCTGCCAATTGCATATATTCTCCGGAAGCAGAGTAGTAGCCACTTAGGTCCATTAGTTGTTAAATATGCAATATAATATAGATTATAAATTACATATAACCGGAAATGACTGTAGATGACTTCACTAAAAGCAAATGATTTAAATTATGACAAATATTCCTGGTTAAAATGTTATCAAAGTCCAAATTTCCAAAATGATATACAAATTCGTATAGTTGTATGCGTTTCCGCATTTAATTTTCTATACAAAATTCCTTATCGTTGAACCTTTTCTTAATAAATTTTATTATCATATATGGTAACTCTCCAAATTTTTATTGTTATTGTTGTTCATAACCCTCTCTCTTGAACTATGTTGGTATAAATGTATACATGTATGTGCATAATTCAACTGTCGGCAATGATATATAGAAATGGCGCAGTAAAGAGATAAAGCTTCTTGCATATGGTTTTTGGCAACAACAACAGCAATAACAACAAGAACAATAGGAAAAACTTGCGATTGACAAAAAGTTCGAAAGAAGGAGTTTGAAGTTAGTAGTTTTCACTGTCTAGTAGGTAGTAGAGAATGACTGACTGATATCATATATGTATATGGTTCCTAGTACTTTATATTATGGATTCGTGTGTCATCGTTCAAGTATTAAGATGGACGGACAAACGAACAGAGACAGGCATTTATACGTAGTACGTGTATGCATTTTGGGATTTATTATGGCAAAATGGAGAGAGTGAGAGAGTATAAACGTAGAGAGCCAGTATATAACAGCCTTAACAAAGTGATGACTCCAATATAATTTCGCGATTGTCGGCAGAATAAACGTTTATGTACTTACATACAGTTGCTAAGATAAGTATGCGAACAGTTTTATGTTTTTTAAGCTATGGAATGAATTAATGAATAAGATTCCTGAAAACTAAGGTCAAAATAGTTTTTGATATACATATGTAGGTACAACTCAACAACTGGACCGTAGGCATTGGCCTAGTTGTGAATTCAAACAAGACAGAACTAGTGCTATTCACAACTACAGGACTAAAAATCCAAGTTTCAAGACCCTGAACTGCCAACACAGGGTTAAGAAAGCTTACTATACCTGTCGTAAGATAATCAGGATCATTTGGCAACTTAATACTGACGTACATAGTTAAATGGATATACACAGAAATTCATTCCAACTATATTACCGAAAACATGGACTTTGATAGTGTTCTGAGTTGGAGAACCATCCACGATTAATATAAAATCCGAAATTATACAAATGTGGGATATGTTCACCAATCGGTGTTCTGGATGGGATCTGTTTTGGATATCATCAACGTTCTTTGAGTTTTTATCTTCTGGTTGGACAGTTCATGAATGATCTATCAAGGCTATGTCGTCTGTCTAACATCATCCTAGTTTAGGTCTCTACCCATAAAGGCCTACTATGGTAATGAATAGGACAAGTTATCGAGAATGGGATTTGTTTTGCATATCTCCAATTCTCTTTCTGCCGCAATTCTGTTGTGGTGGTATCTTCAGATTCTTCCTTGAAAGTGCGGAACATTGAGGTTATTGGCAGCAATAACTGAGGATTGCCTCAATAACATATCATTCTTCATAGTTCTATATCGTTTTCCAATCGGAGTGCCAAATGGAATTTGTTTTGGATATCTCCGATGCTCTTTCAGTCTTTATCTCCTGGTTGGGCAGTGCATGAATGATCTATCAAGGTTGTCTTGTCTGACTAATATCATCCTAGTTTAGGTTCCTGCTCATAAAGACTACTATGGTAATGAACAGGCAGACGATATATCGAGAACGGGATCTGTTTTGGATAATGCTTAGCCGCTTCGTTAAGGTATATTAAAAGTGGTCTTCAGGTTCTTTCTTTAAAATACGGGTCATTGAGGTTATTGGTGTTATAACTGGACACTAAACATTGCCTCAATAACTTATCATTTCTCATATCGTTCACTAATCGGAGTTCCGAATGGGAACGCTCTTTCGGTCGCAACTCTTTCATCAAAAGGCGGGCATATTGAGTTTATTGGCAGTAATAATTGGACACTGGACATTGCCTCAATAATTTATCATTATTCATGAAATGCGCTGAATCCGAGCTTAAGAACACGATATCTTAAAAACTTCGGTCAGATTCGGCGCAATTTAATACTTTAGAAAAGTATTAACATGGATGAACATGACTTAGGCTATTGCGCAGCATTCATGAGATTATCGCTCGATGGAATTTAAAAACGTTGGTGTCCTCTTGTACACTTCTGGAATTTTACTTAAGTAGCCAACTGTAAATTTCACAGGCGGCGGCAGTAAAAGCAAGCATAAGAAAATGACGTGCCTGACTGGGCTGATGAATAGCAGTAGTAGAAAAAAAAACATTATTTTAGGTATATTAAATATTATGTATCGTTTGACAACTATAATAGGACCCCCCTGGTAAAAAAAAAAAACTACATATAAATTGCATTCATACACAAGTGTATATTTATGATATAAAACACTTTGTAGGGTAAATAAAGAGTTTATTTATTGCTTATGGGAGTAACTTCTAATATTGTATTTCTCTGCTTAACAATACATTAATTGCATTTACAAATAATTGTTTTTTTCTTTCATATTTAAAGTATTTAAAACTAATACATTAAACATATATATATATTTACACATATAAATAATTAATAATTATATACTTATTGTGCAGCAGCTGAATCGTTGAGAAAAAAAAAACCCATATAAAATAAGAGTTATATACATGTAATACATTGTATATTCGAAATAAAAGACAACAACAAAAACTCCTTGTGAAGTGTGAAGCGAAAAACAAAAAACCTGTAGATGCGCATGTGTGACTAATAATTGCCAAAAAATAAAATTGTCTGTTGTAAAATTTTAACTCAATGACTCAGACTCGTACAGATTTATGGGAAAACAAAGAATGTGTATATATTTTCTTAATTTAATAACGTATTAATGATGAGATTTTCTTTGTTCCATAAATTCCGTATTAAAAAAAGGTTTTATTTAAATTACACAAAAAAAAAATCTGTAACTCTTTGTAATGACGGCATTATTTTGTTTAATCATAATTGTGTATGACCCTTTTTCAGGGAGAGTCATTATTCTGTTGCGGTACAAATGGATTCCAACGCAAACAAGCTTCATCAATTTTAGGAAATGTTCCACGTCTTTTAATGCGCTCCTCATAATCATCCAAAACATCCTGTTAATAAAGTATAAAACAACAATTTTATAGAATGATTTTTACTTTCTCATCAAATCAATTAGAAAATTACCTGTTTTTTAAGTACTATATGTTTGCCTTTCCAGTATTTCATCATACCCAATGCCTGTAGAGTGCTTACAATGTCATAAGAATAAATGGCCATTTCCTAAATTGTATTTTATTAAATTTATTATATTTTTGTATTTGAATTGCATTTAATCTGTATGAAATGCTTATACTTACTTGTGAAACATCTTTTATGCTTAAAGTATTTCCAGTTCGATTACATAGATATTCTAGTAGGACATCTTTCCAATAAGAACGATATGATATTAAGCCTAAATCAGATAATGGTTTTTCTGGCGAACCAATTTTACGTTCCACCCTGGTCAACAGGTAACCTAAAGAAGAAAATGTAAAAATAAACGAATATATTTAATAGTTTAATAGTTTTAATACAAATAACTTTCGGCTTATTGAAGGTAGAACCGAAAGTATTTATATCCTACACAACTATAGTGCGAGAGGATATTTTGCATTTGTGCTGATGTTGGTCATACACCCACCTTAAAGTATATCAATCGGCTCAGAATCACTTTCTAAGTCGATTAAGCTCTGTCAGCCTGTTTATGGTTCATATAAACCTTGTGAGCACAGCACAGGACTCAACTTTCAATTGATGAAATTTAGTGAAATTTGACATATAATTTCTTAAAGACGAATCCTATTCAAATCGGTCTATTATTATTTTCCTTGGCTCCATATAACCATACCGTAAACGGTGTACAAAAATCGGCACAACTAAGTTTTGTACAGTAGATAGACTAGTCTATAGGTAACTATAGTCTAGTTTATATTCTAGTCTACAGTATAGTGAAGTCTACTATATAGTCCTACCTATAGTCTACTCTATAGTCCTACCTATAGTCTATAGTCTAGTCTATAGTCTAGTCTATAGTCTAGTCTATAGTCTAGTCTATAGTCTAGTCTATAGTCTAGTCTATAGTCTATAGTCTACTATATAGTCTACTCTATAGTCTACTCTATAGTCTATTCTATAGTCTAGTCTATAGTCTAGTCTATAGTCTAGTCTATAGTCTAGTATAGTCTACTCTCGAGTCTAATCTATAGTCTATTCTATAGTCTAGTCTATAGTCTAGTCTATAGTTGAGTCTATAGTCGAGTCTATAGTCGAGTCTATAGTCTAGTCTATATTCACGTCTACTATATAATCCTACCTATGTATAGTCTAGTCTGTAGTTTATTTTCTTTAGTCTAGTCTATAGTCTGGTCCATAGTTAGTCTATAATGTAGTCTTTAAACTAGTCTATAGTATAGTCTTTAGTCTAGTCTATAATCTATTCTAGTCTATAGTCTAATCTATAGTCTAGTCTATAGTCTAATTTAGTCTATAGTCTAGTCTATAGTCTAGTCTATAGTCTAGTCTATAGTCTAGTCTATAGTCTAGTCTATAGTCTAGTCTAGTCTAGTCTATAGTCTAGTCTATAGTCTAGTCTATAGTCTAGTCTATAGTCTAGTCTATAGTCTAGTCTATAGTCTAGTCTATAGTCTAGTCTATAGTCTAGTCTATAGTCTAGTCTATAGTCTAGTCTATAGACTAGACTATAGACTAGACTATAGACTAGACTATAGACTAGACTATAGGACTAGTCTATAGTCTAGTCTATAGTCTAGTCTATAGTCTAGTCTATAGTCTAGTCTATAGTCTAGTCTATAGTCTAGTCTATAGTCTAGTCTATAGTCTAGTCTATAGTCTAGTCTATAGTCTAGTCTATAGTCTAGTCTATAGTCTAGTCTATAGTCTAGTCTATAGTCTAGTCTATAGTCTAGTCTATAGTCTAGTATAGTCTAAAGTCTAGTCTATAGTCTAGTATAGTCTAAAGTCTAGTCTATAGTCTAGTCTATAATCTAGTCTATAGTCTAGTCTATAGTCTAGTCTATAGTCTAGTCTATAGTCTAGTTTATAGTCGAGTCTATAGTCTAGTCTATAGTCATGTCTACTATATAATACAACTTATGTATAGTATAGTCTATAGTTTATTTTCTATAGTCTAGTCTATAGTTAGTCTATAATCTAGTCTTTAAACTAGTCTATAGTCTAGTCCATTGTCTAGTTTATAGTATTGTCTAGAGTGATGTCTGCTATATAATCCAGTCTATAGTTTGCTATTTTCTTTAGTCTAGTCTATAGTCTAGTCTCTACCCAGGTCTATAGTCTAGTTTGTAGTCCAGTCTAGTATATAGTCTAGTCTATAGTCTTGTCTATAGTCTAGTCTATAGTCATGTCTACTATATAATCCATCTTATGTATAGTATAGTCTATAGTTTATTTTCTTTAATCTAGTCTATAGTTAGTCTATAATCAAGTCTTTAAACTAGTCTATAGTCTAGTCCATTGTCTAGTTTATAGTATTGTCTAGAGTGATGTCTACTATATAGTCCAGTCTATAGTTTGCTATTTTCTTTAGTCTAGTCTATAGTCTAGTCTCTACCCAAGTCTATATTCTAGTTTGTAGTCCAGTCTATAGTATAGTCTATACTGTAATCTATAGTATAGTATATAGACTAGTCTATAATCTAGTATATAGCCTAATCTATAGTCTAGTCTATTATCTAGTCTATAGTCTAGTCTATAGTCTAGTCTATTATCTAGTCTATAGTCTAGTCTATCAGACTAGACTATATAGTCTATTTGTCATATGCTTAAACCTTCCCCAATGTAAAAGTAGGAACTCTCTTATGCTTACCACATATGTATGATATAGAAAATGAACTATCGAAGTTTTCAGAAATACAATACAATTAAATGAAAAGCTCTTTATCAGTAACAATAAAGTTTTTTTTAATTACAAATTTTTGCAATTGAATATTTAACCTTGAAAATAAATGTTATTTTAATTTTTCTCAATTAAATTGCTTTCTTTACACCATATAAAAAAAACAAGATAATCACGCTCTCTCCCTCACTCTACTTTTGTTTTATAATAAAAGATGAATATTAAATTAATTTAAAATTTAACAATTTTTTATACTCTGATTAAATCAAACAATCACGTACTCCAAAAAAAAAAACGAAATAGAATAGAATAAATAAAATAAAAAAAAGTGCATTGTTATCCGTTGGTTGGAAAAAAAAAATTGTTCACTAGTCTAGACAGTAACGAAGCCGCCATCCTTTGCTCATTGTTAAATCCTAAAGTATGAGAAGCAAACAGCAAATGACCTCTTCTCTGTTACCACGACTCTTTGACTATCTCCTTATGTACTCGCATGATAATAATGATGATTACTCATTCTGACTCAATGTGACTAAGACTACGACAACAACAATCATAATGACAACAATAATAAAAATAACAACAACATCAGCAGCAGCAATATAGAAAAAAAAACTCAGTTTAACTTTAGTCGTCCATTCAACCCAATGTTCTTGCACGCTACTTCTTTCCGTGTGCAAAATATTTGAGAGTTACACAGAGTGTTATACTTTAATTTTTTTCCCATTTTTTTCTTCTATTTTTTTTTTGCTCAATAAACAACACTAATGGTAGTAGTATGGCTGGCCACAGCCAGTCAGTCAGCCAGCCAGCCCTACTTCTACTACTACTGCCATTCATTCATTTCATCTACAACATACTTCTATAGAAACAACAAACACATGGACTCCTTAAAAACGTTGCAACATTGGCGACGTGGGTACAATGATTTTTTTTCCCGACATTTGGAGGGTTGTTCTCTCTGCTTTCGTTTTGCACAGACATAGACACTTGCATCTGTATTAGGGTTTTTGTGGGAAAGAAATTTTTATAGAAATTATCGGAAAAATCTTTGTGTTATTTCTTAAATATTTATATTACTGCTGATGATCTGATGATCTTTCTAATGTATGGAAATATAGGTTCTGCATTATCTTTTGAAATAGGTGTTCCATGGTCTCTTTTTTCCTTTTTGTGTTCTTGCTTATATCTCTATTACTTTTGGACCGATTTTGCTAATTTAAAATAACGATTTTCTCGTAAGCATGTCTGACAGAGTTATAGAAGATTTGGAACCCGGAGATATCTGGGGTAGGGTTTTTGTGGGAAAGAAATTTTTATAGAAATTATCGGAAAAATCTTTGTGTTATTTCTTAAATATTTATATTGCTGCTGATGATCTGATGATCTTTCTAATGTATGGAAATATAGGTTCTACATTTTCTTTTAAAATAGGTGTTCCATGGTCTCTTTTTTTCCTTTTTGTGTTCTTGCTTATATCTCTATTAATTTTGGACCGATTTTGCTAATTTAAAATAACGATTTTCTCGTAAGCATGTCTGACAGAGTTATAGAAGATTTGGAACCCGGAGATATCTGGGGTCTTCAGAAAATTGATTTCGACAAACATACAGACGGACGAGAAGATAGGCAGACCGACATAGTTTAATCCACTCCCCTATATACAAGGATCCATAATATAAATACTTTATAGAGTCCGAAAATCATATTCTCTTGAAGTTAAAGGGTATAAAAAGTATATTCGTCACCCCTGATTCTTTCGGGTTAGATCTAGCAATTCATTTTCATCTAAACGATCGCGTAATTTTATGTCGCTTAAAGTAAGTGATCTTAGGATGATATTAAAAAAACAATTTTATCTTTTTAAAATCCCCAGTGCAGGAAATTTGATAACAACATTATCGCCCTTTTTTCGGTATCCCTATTCCTATAGTATATGTATTATATTGTTTAAAGCTTATGATTTTATTTGTTTATTGCTTTAAATTTTTTGTTGGCGTCTAAATATCTACGTAGCCCCCACAATACTCACATTTTACATCAATGAATTTACTGTTACATGCTTTGGGGTTGAATGGAATTTATAACGTCGCTTGCTTCGCAATCACCCCTTTCGAATGGGAATGACTGTGTGATTGAAGCGACGTAAAAGTTCTTGTGCGTTACTATACAAATAGCAAAAGCAAACAAAACACAAGCGCCCACTCCCCCACAAAACGTAGAGTAACGTCAACGTCACCATCATTTTTCTGGTTGCAATTTTGTTTGTACATTATTCATACATACATATTTGTATGTATTTGTACATATGTATGTATATATATAGAAACATAGATATGTATTTATACATAAATGTATATGAATGTTTGTGTGTGTGTGTGTGTAAAATATTTTTTTTGCCATTCTGATTCCTATACAATGCATAAGAATGGGGAAAAAGCGTCGAGACGACTTTATCGATCCATGTTTAAGTGTTGACATTAAGAAACCAACAAAGTTTATTTTATTAAAGTAATCGGTTTTTGAAGTATTTGGTTTTGTTAAGTTTTAATACAAAAAACAAAGACGAGTTTGACGCCAATTAAACTTTATAAAACGTCAAG